AGAGAGAGAGAGAGAGAGAGAGAGAGAGAGAGAGAGAGAGAGAGAGGGACTTCTAGAGAGCGAGGGGGACATATCTCCTGTGAAGATCTGATTTATCCATATCTTAAGTAATTGGGAGTCCTCTCTCTCACCATAAATCGTTTTTAGGGTTTTTTCGCGCTTTCTCGGAGTTCAATGCCCTGTGTTTTCTTCAGCTTTCAGGGATCTCTGGTTTACGGTGAGTGTTCTGCCTTTCCCGTTGATCTGCTTCTCGATCCAGCATTATAATGTTCTCTGGTTTTGAGAATTGAGTTTTTTCTTTCTCTAAGCTTATGGGTTGATTCTTATGACGAAGATCTGGTTCTGTGCTGGCATTGTGTATTCTCGCGAGCTTGGATGTTTATGGTTTATTCTCTCTCTCTAAGGATGTTTATGGTTTATTTTTTCTCTCTATGGTTGTGTAGTGATTGCTTGATGGTTTTCGAGGTCTGGTTTTTGTGTGATCTGTTATTGAATTGGTTGTTACATGGTGGTTGCCATTGTTATGTACTGATCTCTTGAATTATTTATGTGATAAGAAGAAAGAACAATGTCTATTGAATTGTTTCCATTTTAGACTCTCTCTCTAGCTGGCTTTACTTTTTGCTCTGTTTTTTGCTTTAATTGAATTGTTTAATCATGCAATTGTCTGGAAAATAGCCCCCCGTTCCCCGCTTTTCTCTCTTTCTGTATCGGTCTCTTTCTCTTTCCTCTGGATTTGGTCTTATATTCCTGTTTTTTTTTTCCTCTGAGTTTTTGTGATGATCTAGTCGTCCTCTCTCTCTCTTCTCTGGTTCCTTTGTTTTTCTTCTTCTTCTTTGGGTTTCATTGAATTGTGTAATCATGTGGCTATTGTTTGGGAAATAGGTATCTCTCTGTGGTACTCTACTGCTGCTCTCTGGTTGTTTTCATCTGCTCCAAGTTTCTGTGCTGATCTAGGCATCCTTTCTCTCCGACTTTGTTTTTTGTTTTTGTTCTTCTTCATATTTTTTGTTTGGTTTTCTGAAACTGTTTAATTGTGTGGCATCTTCTGGAAATAGTTCTCTCATTCTCTCTCTCTCCCCTCTCCTCTCCACTAGGCTCTTTAAATATGTATATTATCTATACCCTAGTTTCTTTGGTTTTTAATTGATGTTCATTAGTTTTTGGTTGTTTTCATCTTCTCTGCTGAACAGTTGACGCAGATCTGTTGTAATGACTGCTATGATGAATGGTTGCAATGAGTGTTTAGAAGGGAGTAAGGTACAACTGGATGGTAAAGGAGACTTGAATTCCTTGCATGAAGTACCCATAGAGGCGAAAGATGATCCCAATGCTTCTTTGGTTCATGTTCATGAAGTAAATAACACTAAGGAGAAAGAGGATCACGAAAGTTCTTATGTTCATGTTAATGGAGTAAGCAATGGTGCAATAGATGCTTATGCTTGTGTAATTACGGAGGAGAGAGACAAGGATTACCTTGTTCCAGATTGTGAGGTTGTAAAGAGTAAGAATGATTTGATTGAGAATGATGGGCACGAGGAAGTCGTGGAGAGAGGTAGTAATGTGATCAAGAGTGTGGATGTGAAATTTGTAGACAGAAAGAGTGACTTGATTGAGAACAGTGTGAAGGTGGAAGTAGGGGAGAGAGAGAGTATCCTGACTGAGAATTCAGTAAATGAGGAAGCCTTAGAGAGGGAGAGCAATGGTCCCATAGTCGTGGAGAGAGGTAGTAATGAGATCAAGAGTGTGGATGTGGAAGTTGTAGACAGAAAGAGTGACTTGATTGAGAACAGTGTGAAGGTGGAAGTGGGGGAGAGAGAGAGTATCCTGACTGAGAATTCAGTAAATGAGGAAGCCTTAGAGAGGGAGAGCGATGGTCCCATGAATGAGAAGATGGAGAGAGCATCAGAGGCTTTGGATATTCATGGTCCCGTGCAAGAGAGTGCTGAATTGTATCCAAACTTTGGTAGCTGCACTAATGGCTCATGTTCTGATGCCAGAGCCATTGATGTGGAATCAGTGCCAAATCCTAAAACCAGCACTTGCCGTTTGTGTATTGGGACTGAATATGTTAATTTGGAGTCAGATCCAAACCCTGAATTATCCATGAATGGCTCGGGCATCAAGATTGGAACTGGTAATTTAGACTTGGGCTTAAACCCTGAAGACGTTACTTTGGAATCAGATCCAAACTTTAAAATCATTCAGTCTGATGTTGTTATTTTGGAATCAGACCCAAGCTCTGGAATCTGCAACAACGGTTCTTGTGTTGAGCCTGAAACTGCTATAGTGGGATCAGACCCAAACCTCGAAATGTGCACTGATGAATTGTGTCTCAAGACTGACGATGACTTGGAATTGGAACCAACCCTTGAAATCATCGAGGATGGTTTGCGTGCTGAGGCTGCAACTGTGTATTTGGAATCAGACCCAAACTCTGGTATCTGCTCTAATGGCTCATGTTCTGATACTGGAGCCATTAATATGGAATCAGTGCCAAACCCTAAAACCACTAGCAGTTCCTGTATTGGAACTCAACATTTGGAGTCAGATCCAAATCCTGAATTGTCTATGAATGGCTCAGGCATCAAGATTGAAACTGTTAATTTAGACTTGGGTGCAGACCCTGAAGACGTTAATTTGCAGTCTGATCCAAACTGTAAAATCATTGAGTCTGAAGTTGTTATTTTGAAACCAGACCCAAGCTCTGGAATCTACAGCAATGGTCCTTGTGTTGAACCTGAAACTGCTATAGTGGGATCGGACTCAAATCTGGAAATCTGCACTGATGATTTATGTTTCAAGACTGAAACTGATAAATTGGAATCAGAACCAACCCTTGAAATAAGCGAGGATGGTTCGTGTGCTGAGACTGGAACTGCTAATTCAGAAGCTGACCCAAAACCCAAAGTCTGCAATAATGGTTTGTGTGTCGAGACTGACAATGTTAAGTTGGAATTGGAACCAAAGCCAGAAATCTCCAGAAGTTTTTTATGTGTTGAGTCTGAAACTCCTCCTCTGGGATCAGAACCTTCCCCTGTAACCTGCACAGAAGTCTTGTGTGTTGAGATCCAAACTGTAAAGTTGGAATTGGATTCAAGTCCTAGTGGTTCCTTTGTTAAGTCTGAAGCTGTTAATTTGGAACCAATGTCAAACGCAGAAATCTGCGAGAAGGAAGCTGTTGATTTGGGATTAAACCAAGAAGGACCTGGCACGGATTCTAAGGAGGTGGGAGTGCAAGGCATGGAGAATGCTGATGAAGAGTTATTGGTGGCACTGCCTGTTTCAGAGGAAAAAGATCAGTCATTACATTTGCCTGTCGATTCAACGAAAGCTGACTCGGGTTCTCCCAAAGATCACGAGGGGAATTCGATTGAATCCGTGGAACTTCCCGATTCACGTTATGATGAAGAATTTCCAGTGCTGGCTAGAATTGCTACAAAACGCAAAATGCAATTCAAAAGGTCTACTTGGACTCCAAAGCATTCAGCTAGTCTTGGCAGTAACATTGATGGTTTGAACTTGGACACCCCTCCCCTTGAATCACGTCTGATTAAGAATTGTGAGCCTGTTTTGAAATCAGAAGCTAAAGTTGTTTCTGATGGGGATCACACTGTGGAATCAGGATTTGCCAATTGTGGTCTGAAGAGTTCATCTCCTGACCTACCGGAAGAACCAGGAAATAGCCCATCTTCTGTCTCTTCCCATTGTAAACAGTTGACTAGCAGAGATCCTGTTGACAATGGAGACGCTCTTCCATTAGGAGGAGCGTCATCTGAGAAGCCTGATGCTTCTGCTGCTTCGCAAGAATCATCAGAATCTAGAGTCGTTCCTGACAGTGATACAGGCTCGTTCTCCTCTGTTACGCCTGAAAGTTCAGATGGGGTTCCTGTTGCTCTTTCTGGGGATGGACATATGGGGGTCGATACAGTAGCAGGGCCTAGAAGGATGCCATTTTTCATGGTAAAGGTCCCCAAACATTTCGACAGTGAAATCATGGCAAAGATAACCCTCGCCAAGTCTCAGCTTGAGGAGAGAACTCAAAGTAGGGATTGCATAGGAGCAGCAAAGAAATCAAGGAAGGTGAGGGTCACTAGAAATTGGTGTGCAATTGATTTTTGGTGATCCTTTTTCTTTTCCTTTCCACCTCTTTCCTCCTTTTGTTTTGGATTTCTTATATCACTTGGTTTCGTGTGAATGCAGGATAGTCGTGGTGAATCTTTTGAAAAATTGAATGCTGCAAGGGCAGGAAAAAGAGAGGCACATGATGCGTTGGCTGCCAAAAACAAAGAGCTGACACATGTTCAGTCGCTAATCAGACAGATAGAATATACAACTGCTTTTGGGAGATATGGTGAAGAGGTGGGTTCACATTTTGGTAGTAAAACAGAAAAGCATTTTGGTGCTAACTTTCCACCACTGTTGCATGATTAAACATTTAAACTTGTAGTTGTTTTCTTGTCAAACTACTTCCTAAATTACTAATGGAATGACTGGGTGCAGATTTCTTCAATGGAACACAGGATTGAGCATGAAACCATGCCATTGACAGAAGAGAAGCAGCTTCTAAAAGATATCAAGAAATTGAAGGCTAGCCGGGAAAGTGCCCGTGCAAAGGCAGAGCCTGGCTTAACAGTTCAGGATGCCTTGAAACAAAGGAAGCAACTTGAAGAACAGATCGAGGTATTCAATTTTGAAAACAACTGGGGTTGCTTGAGTCTTTTCTAGGGAAAGTATACTGAACTTCATTCAACCGAGGGAAAACTCTTGTGATACAGTTAACAAAGAAAAATAGAAAATTTTGTTATACACGATCATTGACATGATGGATGGTGATGAAAAAAGAGTGGGCCAACCTCAAGGGTACCCCATTCTGTGGGGTCCACCTTTATCCATCATCATCTATGACCTCTATGGACAATGGTATTCGATTTTGTCATTGGATTATGGTGTGCATTTACTTTCCTTTAGCGATTCACAGAACGACACATTATGCTTTATTTATGTAGCTTCTGAAGGAGGAGATTGATGAGCTCAGAGGATTGGTTCGACAAGCTGAAAATAATGTCAAGGCTGTTGAGAAACTGCATCATGACATGTCTGAAGATATGGGACAGATACATAAGCAGTATGCTGCTGCAGATGAAGCTCGCCAACAAGCTTATATTAATCTAACAAATTTGAGAAATCAAGAGCGCAGTATGGTATGCTCTTTTAATTTATGCTCCACAGTTGTTTGTTCATGTTTTGGACTTATGAAGTTTATACTTACAAGTTCGAAAGATCTTTAAGTTTGTTTCTCATTGGTTTTTGCGACTCATAGAAGATTATGCCTGGAAAACATTATTTCATTAACCATGAAAGTTAGAAATGCTTATTTTGAAATTCCTGTTCGCTATATTGCCTAATTTTCATAGTAATAATTTGTCATTATTGTTGCTCTCTAAGGATTTTTATTAACACGCTAAAAAGTCTCCCCCTTGTTTTGTCTTCATGAAATTTAAAATTGTTTTTTACTGTTCATTTCATGATAGTTTCTTTCTTGTCCATTTTAGATTAATCATCATAAGCACTCCTTTAATTTTCCTGTGATTTTCTTACTCACTTGGCCTTCCTATTTCCTTGGCCTGCTTCAATGCAGTTACTCTTTTGGCCAAAACAAAATGAAAAGCAGTAGGCTATTGGTTACAAAAGTAGTATTCTTTTGGCTAGACTGCTAGTCTGCGAGTCAAATAAGTACTTTAGTTGCATAGGGGAGTGGAGCTAGGGGTAACTGCATTGTCTCCTTTTAAATACGGAACTAACCAATGACTGCTTCCAAGATAGAACTCTCATGCCAATTTTGGTTCTCAGTGGGTACTAGATATCCTTGTTTGCACATTAGTTTTTTATCTAAGTCATATGATTCTCTTAGCATACCCTTTCAAACTCAAGTTTTTATCTTACTTGGTCTGGTGAGTTTAGTAAGTTTTTATCTAATTTGGTCTGGTGAGTTTAGTTTTTTTTTTTTCCTTTCTCCATTCCACTTCCTTTTTTATTTTATTGAACTTATGGTTCACTCGAGTTGTATTATTGTCAAGTTTTTGGCTTATGAACTATTTCATTCCAAGAAAAAAATTGCAACATACTTAAAATTGAAATTTGCTAAAAAGGTACACCCATTTTGGTCACATTTCTCTGCGCTGTGTGAGACCTAGATTCCTTAGTTCCGTACACAAATGATCCTTTAGTTTTAGTCTCAGCTGCACATGAATAACGAAATTAATATCATCCGAGCTCTATTGCAACTATTTGGCGTCAGCTACACGAGTCATATTATGATATTCCACTTTATCAGGTGCCATAACCTGAATTCGTAAGTCAACATTTCTTTTCTCACTTCTTCCATTTACGTCTTCCCTTTGCCCTTTTAGAACCTTCCACTTGAATTAAAATCACCTCTCCTAACTGGTGTTGTTCTAGGTTGACGCTGCACATGACCAGACTACTTAAGTCTACTTTGCCTCATTTTATTGTCTATTGGAGCTATCCCTAAGTTCCCTAGACTGTATTCATTCTGAAATTTATCTTTCGTTGTCTTGCTGCTTATCCATATCAACATCCTCATCTCAGCTAAACTTGTTCTATGGATATGTTGTTTCTTGACTACCCAACTTTCCATCCAATAAAACATGAGTGTTCTTACCGCCGTCCTATAGAGCACATCTCCACTTCGTCCATTCAACTCTAAATCTATGAGCAACATCTACCTCAAGCTCTCTTCTCATTGATTATCAACTCTAAGATATCGAAAAGAATCTCTTTTAGATACTTCTTGACCATCAATCTTAACTAATACCTTGTTTATGCTTTTATTATTACTAAACTTGCATTACATATACTCTGTTTTAGTCTGGTAGTTTTAAAATCTTAGATTCTAAAGCATCAAAAAATTAATATATTTCAACAAATAATCTATATATAAATCAATTATTTATTGAAAAACAAAGTTAATCTTATGACATCTCCCTTGGATATCTTCTCTTTCTTCTTATCATATTTCTATGCTGATCTTTTGTTATCATCTTTCTATGCTCGCATATGAATCTAATTTTATCTCAATATTAACACCCAAATAATTTAGGTCAAACCCCATTTATCTTTACACCTCTTTGGAAATTAACAACACCCCAAAAATGTATTTTTGTAATATGTGCCCTGTACATTGTTTTTTTTTTTTTTGTAATTGTTATGTGCCTTGTACATTGTTAGTTACTTGCGAACATTACGAGTGAGTTTTCAGTGACAATAGGTTTACAATAAGAGTCAGCATTGAGTGCATACCTTTTTTTCTTAGTTATGGACGACTTAATTAGGCACCTACAAGATGAATATTGTTCGCAAATGACAGTTTTGATCGGTGAGACCCAAAACGACATCAACACAAAGTTAGAACTTTGGAGGGATACTCTAGAATCCAAAAGTTTTAAAATTAGCCGGAGTACTAAGACAAAGTATATGGAATGCAAATTTAGTAATAATAGGGGTAGAAACGAGGAAGTAGTTAATATTGACGGCCATGAAGTACAAAAAAAACCGCACTTTCGATATCTTGGGTCGATAATCCAGGGAAATGGAGAGATTGAGGAAGATATCGCACACACAATTAAAGCTGGGCGGGCGAAGTGAAGATGTGCAACTTAAATTTTATGTGATCGCCGCATATCAATGAAGCTGAAGAGCAAGTTCTATAGGACAATGGTGAGACCAGCTTTGCTATATGGGGCGGAATATTGGATGGACAAAAAATATACCCATAGAATGAGTGTAGCAGAGATGAGGATGTTGAGATGGATGAGTGACAAGACAAGAAGAGATAGAATTCAAAATGAATCCATTCGGGAGAATTTAGGTGTGGCATCAATAGACGATAAGATGAGAGAGAGAAGAATTAGGTGGGCTGGCCATATGTGGTGCTGACCAAGTACAACATCTGTTCGGAGGTGCGAGTTAGTTAAAGTGGAAGGACTGAAAATGGCAAAAGGTAGGCCCAAAGACGTGGTTGGAAGTAGTCCGAAAAGATATGGGGATTTATAGCCTCATTGAGGGTATGGCCTTTAATAGAGCAGAATGACAGACCAGGATTCGTGTGGCCACTGATCCCAATTAATTGGAAAAAGGCTATGATGATGATGACGATGACGATTCTTCAACTCCATCAGTTCCTTATTCATTATGGGGATAGGTCATCTGAAACTGCTATGCTTACGACTTTCACCAATGGTGTCACACGGAGTTCCAAATGCACTTGCTTAATAAAAAAAAAGTAAAAACAAAACTGTACTCCCATATTTGACAAATAAGTGCATTACTAGTGAAGTTCCGTACCAACCTGAGGTTACCAAGTAACAAGAAACAGGGAGGTATATCACAATCATATGGAGTAAATGATATATGGTACAAACAATGTAGATTAGTTGCAGTAGGGTCAATAAGAACCCATCAGATACTGTTATCTTCCTCATCTGTTGTCGGAAACAGATGATGTGTGTGCCTCTGCAGTACCTGATGCCATATGCTGTTGGATTATGGTGTGCCGTTGGACTAGCCATAGCCTATAGTCCAAACCCTTAAAAACATTTCTTCACAAGCCTAACTGCAATAAACCACCAGTTAAAGCTAATTTGATTACCATTTTTTGTTTCTGTTCTCGTAGAGTCCTTTGTAGTAGGCCTACTGGGATATTTACCCAGGTACAGTTAATCTCCACTGTCCGTCAAAGAAAATGGTCGGTAGATGCCCATTGGGAGTAACACATACTGCACTGGCTTTTGGATTATGTTATACTTCTCCAAATGAAAATACTTCTTTGAGAGACGACCATACCCATGTCTATAATTGAAATTAATTGAAGCCCAATGTGATCATACTTTTCCCACTTTCTGTTACCTTAAATATGCAGCTGGTAGTATTATGGTATTGATGGGCCCATTGTCGTGATTGCCTTTGCAGAATAAGGAATTCTTCAAGTACAAAGAAGATTTTCATATTGCACAGAAGTATGACTTGGCAAAAGATAGAGAAGCGCTGCAAAAATTTTGCTACAATCAGGTAGTGGACTTTTTCTCAATGGCAAAGCCTTCTTCATTTTTCTTGTTTATCAAGTGATTTTCTTTTGTACCTTTGATAGCATTTTTTACATTTTATCAAGTGAAATTAGTATTCTGCACTTTATTTCTTTTTCTGGTACGAGAGACATTTGGAAAAGTATTCTACCATATATAACCCAACAGTTTATGGAGTACCATGGCCACTTGGGGTTATTCCTGTCCAATGAAATGATCAGCAATGATGGAGGGAGTGTGTGACCCATTGGAGCAGTGCCTGACTTGGTGGATCCAACTCTCTTTCTACCACTGCCCATCGTATTATTGGAAATTGCAGTGACCCCATTGATAATGACCCCAATGGACTGTAATATTGCACTTCCTCCTAAATTTTATTATATTTTCTTCTAATATAATTAATACACATTATTCGTGTAGGTTGAGCGTCTTATGCATCTTTGGAATAAGGATGACGAGTTCCGAAAACGTTACATTAAAGCCAATGAAAGGAGCACGGCGAGGCGGTTTAAGACCCTTGATGGAAGATCACTTGGTCCTGATGAGAAGGCTGTTGTGCTCCCAAAGCCCATTGATAATGCAAATCCTAGAGTTTCATCTTTGGCTCCAAATGCTGCTCTTCCTCTTCAAAAAGACGAACCATGCCTAACTTCTCAAAATATGAATGATATGACTTCTATTGAAGTTATAAATGAAAAGAAGGTTTTGGGGAAGGCAAAGGGAAAGAAAGCCAAGGATGGCGATTCTTTCGAAGCCGTAGCCACAGACATTGTCCCCGAAAGGAGCGAAAGAGAAGAGGAGGCTAGTGAGAGAGAGAAGAGAAGGTTGAAGGAGGAAGAAGAAGATGCAAGGATAGCTGAGGAGTTGAGGAAGGAGGAAGAGGCGGCTAAGCTCAGAGAGCAGCGCCGACTAGAGGAGATTGCAAAGGCCAAGGAGGCAGAGGAAAGGAAGAAGCGCAAGGCTGGGAAGGACAAGGCGAGAGCTGAAGCAAAAGCTCAGAAGGAGGCCGAGGAGAAAGCCAAGGTAAACTTTAAAGTATCTTCTTCTCGCACAAATAGCTGTAGAATGTTGAGTCATAGACGAGATTGACACATGCATGTGTGCTGTGGAACATGTGACATTCATATAGATGATGTATATGATACATAATTACATAAAACACAAGCATGCCCATACAAGTGCAGGCATACATACATGCAATCATATATGGATGTATGTATTCATTGCTGATTTCTTATGTGTGTGGGTGTGTGCATACTTGTGTATGTATACAATCCCCCCAAAGCCAACGTGTTACAGTTGGAAGGGGTTGTTACCTGTCCATTTATGCTAAATAATCGTGCTTCTAGGAAGATTTTTATTTCTGTTGGTAGTCGTTTTGGTCATTATGGTGGAATTGGACTCCATTTCTTGCCAAATAAGAATTGGGCATGGTTGGCTTGTCAAGTGTGAACTTTCCTAAATAAATATTGTGATCCCATTACCATCACCCCATTGTCCGATACTGCAAATTTTTATCTTGCACTTCAGAAAGCAGGAATGCCTTCCTAGTACCGATAGTCTGAATTATGACGCTTTTAGATGATCAAATTTACTCTGGTAAGGAAAATTGACAGTTTCAACACCACCCTAACTCTTTCTTCGATGGTTAAGATTAGACCATTTATCAGTAGTACTCACATTTTAAAGCCTTTATATTCCACTTTGTTTATCTTGTGTACGTGTCATTTGATCACTCTATTTTACTCGTGCATTGAAAGGTAAGATTGTACACTATTATCACCAGTATTCACATATTGAAGCCTTTATATTCCATTTCATTATCTTTTGTGCATGTCATTTGATTACTGTATCACTTAGTGTATTGGAGTGTAAAATTATACTATTATCAGTAGGATTCGCATTTACTTGTGCATTGAAAGGTAAGATTATATACTATTATCACTAGTATTCACATTTTGAAGCCTTTATATTCCATTTCATTATCTTTTGTGCATGTCATTTGATTACTGTGTCGCTTGTGTATTGGAGTGTAAAATTATATGATTATCAGTAGGATTCGCATTTTGAAGTCTTTGTTTTTCATTTAGTTATCTTGTGTGGATGTCATTTGATCAATCAATGTTGTGTAGAAAAAGGAGAAGAGAAGGAAAAAGTCTTCGGCTCACGAACGTGCAATGGCCTCAAAAGACAACAACAATGAAGAGGAGAGCTCCCCCTCATCTTCCTCCAGTGTGGTTCTCGAAACCAGCCCATGTCCAGACCCTGAAAGGAATGAAGATCAGGCCACCACAAAACCAAAGAGGCAGCCTGTAAAACCAGTTGCAAAAGAGGTGAAATCGAAGCCTCTGGTTTACCCTCCATTTAGGAAGAGTAAGAGGAGAATGCCAAAGTGGCTTTGGTCTATTCTCGCCCTTGTGTTGTCACTCATCATTGGGGCGCTTGCTTTTGACGTGCCCCTATCCATCCTTCCATTTTAAGCTTGTTGGGTGCTTTATGTTGCTGAGAAAATAGATCTCCTATAGTGGGTTTGCTCTCTCTCATGATGATTGTTATGGGGTTGATCCTCTCTCTCTCTCTCTCTCTATAATATCGTTATAGGTTGTTCTCTGTGATACTTTAGGCATACGATTGAAATTTATTTTGTAGGAACTGTTGTGGCATTCATTACTTCAACTTATTATCAAAATTAAATAAATGTTAAATTTTCTATCCACCATTCTATGGCTCGTGTTATCTGGACCTGTATGCCTTTTGTTAAAAGCCTGAAATTTCCTTTTTGGTTTAGTTTTTTATTTTGACCTTTTGTGTGTGTGTGAGAGAGAGGGGGCTTAGGTGAGAGATTTTTTTTTTTTGGGTTGGGGGGCGGGGGGTGCTTTTCTGAATGAGATATGATGTTGAGAGAGAGAGAGAGAGAGAGAGAGAGAGAGAGAGAGAGAGCTTTGTCTAATGAGATATTATGTTCAAGTATGCATCATGATTAAGGGCTTAAGCATCTTTTGGCCAAATGATTTGTCATCGTGGGGATAGATGATTTTGTCCATAGTCATTATGTGCTTGTTGAATTCTTTTTTCAAATATTTGTTTTTATACACATTGCAAAGATTCAAAGAAATTTATCGTGATAAATGTTTTCTTATAATCATGTCAAAGATAGATAAATACATTATCCTCGAGGTTATGAAGTTGAGCAATTAATTATGTGCAATTTGTGCAACTCATGAAAAGCAATAGAAAAATATTGTTTTGAGAAGTTAAAACCCGTCACAAAATCATTGGAAGTGTAAAAAGGATCCAATGAACACTAGCATGTTTATGGGTCCGGAAGCTTGAGGTCATGAGAAGTCATACCCTCGAGGTTATGAAGTATTTTTTCAAAAACTATATCCAATAAAGCCAAATTGCCTTTGTTTACGGGTCAGGTAGCTTTAGCAAGTGGGGCTGTTTTAGTAATTTTTTAGTCTGTCTTTAACAAAAATATCTTTAATGGTTCCCAAATTGCTGTTCAAAGGTCGGGAGCCAATTTGATCTGCCATAATTAGTCGGTTGGGCCTCTTAGGTGGGTTACATTATTAAAATGCGTGTTTTTGTTGAGTTCAAACCTCTGAAAAACAACAATTTGGGTATATTTCCTTTTAAAAATATTTATTGAAGTACTTATGAAATGAAAAATATATAATTTTTTAAATCTTAAAAAAACTCATAATATGCCTAGTTGTTTTTTTTCCTTTTTTGTTTTTTTGAGTAATTAAGTGGGGGAAGAAATGCCCCTACCCGTTTTTTTTTAGTAGATTAGGAGTTAGATTATTTTCCCCCACCCGTTTTTTTTAGTAGATTAGGAGTTAGATTATTGAAGGTATTAATGGGGGTGGTGTTATTGATAGGAGTGAAAACCACAACGTGGTAACTAGGTGTGGGGATGCTACCACCACGATCCCAACCCCTTTTTTAAAAAATCAGAATCAGGATGTGATCTTTTGAAAAATTTATTGCCGCCCGAGAATGGATCTCGAATTCTCTTGTAAAGATTTGCATACATCATATATTCTTTAAATTATATTTCAGTTCTCAGCATATATTCTTTACGCTATATTTCAGTTATCAGGTTTATTTGTGTTTGAGAGAGATTCGGTTTTGCAAAGTCTCCATCTCACATCTTATGGAATCAGTTTTGAGATTCCTTACTCATTATCGCATTTATTTCATTTTTTCCCTTTCCTTTTTCATCGAGAAGAGCCCCTTACCACTGTTAGGGGCGGCAATGGGTCCGGTATGGGTCAAGTCCGGTTGGACTAGACCATACCCCAATGTATTCGGGTCCAGGTTTTGGACCCAGACCTAACCTATCGGGTCCAAAAGTTGGACCTATACCCATACCTATCGGGTCCATTGCCACCCTCACTATGAGCTTCTTTTTTTGTAGCCTATAATAGTAAAAAACAGATAGTTGATTTTTGAGGGGTGGGAGATAAGAGAGAGAGAGATTCGAAATCCAGAGAGAGAGCTATGTCTTCAAGAAACAGAGAGAGGGAGAATTGCATAGAGGGAGGATGGCGATGGGGTTTGGCCATTTTAGATATCAAGGGAAGACGAAAAGTATTGAAACGGTTTTAGGATTGGGGTTGTGACCTTTAGGTAAGTTAAAAATTTGAGTCCTGGTACCCGCCAGGTCGGGTATAGCAGGACCCGTACCCGGACCCCAGACCATCTGGGTATTCTTTATTGGACCCAGACCCTACCCGATGGTCCAAAACTTGAACCCATACCCGGACACATGTCGGGTATACCGGCGGGTATGGGTTGGGTCCAGGTCCAATGATACCCCTAACCACTAGCTCGCTACTTGATTCAAGCATTTTATGAACAAAGTTATCAAGCCTAGATCAAATCACCTGGTCCGATCAGTTGGATGGCTTACTTGTGTTTTAGCTGGTCTAATTTGAAGTAAAAAAATTTACCTACCAAACCAATTAGTTTTAACTAATTTGATCGGCTAAATAAAATTGAGAAATTTTTTAATATTTTTCATGCTTTAATTTTTTATTTTTTAAAATTTATAGTTTTACTTGCAATTGAACCAATTTTTATTAGATCAAACCTTTGAACCAATTTTTATTAGACCAAACCTTTAATCAATTCATTGACGGGTCTGATCAAATATGGTCTCTCTCCGGGGTAGTTATGGGCGGGTCTCAAGCCTAGCCATAACCTATGCCCAACTTGCTCCACTAGGGTCAAGACCTTAACTAGGTATGGGCCCTTCCTTTGGGAAGGTCGTTTGGGGTTGGTTATGGGCCAGTCTCAAGCCTAGCGCACTGGAGCCTAGGCCCTCTCAAGGTATGGGCACTTCGTTTAGATTTAGAAACAGCTAACTAAATCTTGATCAGCTCTGGCATGGGCCTGGGCTACCACGCTAGTAGGTTGAGCCCAAAGCTGATTTGGGTCCCACACAAATTTAACCCTGCATGCCATATATGCTCTAGTGCCAGCCCGATTAGGGTCTCACCAATTCAACTCTCATGTACAATATTGATATCTTGCTGCAATTTTTCTTAGGAGCAACACCTATTCCCTCAGGTAGAAGACCTATTTGTGAGATTTTTTCAGCCTAAGGCACCATTTAAGAATCACCAGATGATTAACTTTCAAAACAGAAAATTTAAATTTTGAGGTTTGGAACACTTAGATTTCACTCTTCAAAAATTAAACGGCCTCTACTTAATCTTAAGACATTATTTTTCTAAAGTGTATAGAGAGTGCAATTTGGAAATTTTTTATTGAGGTTAGTCCGTGGGTCGAAGAGTTTATATCCTCAAAATTTAAGGTCTTAAAATTACTCCTAGATTGGGTTTTTACCTGAGGGAGTAAATAGAAAATATACACCTATGAGAGCACAATATCTTTCGGCTCTCACTATGTTGATTGCATACAAAAAAAATAGGGGTGGCAATGGACCCGACTAGACTCGACCTTGGGTTTGGGTATGGGTCTGAACTTTGAACCCGAAAGGTTTGGTCCGAGTCCAAAACCTGGACCTATATACTATTCGGGTCTAGGTCTAGCCGGACTTGACCTGAAAAGTATGGCTATTTATTGTGGGTATTCGTAAATGTTGCCAATACATTTGTTTCTTAGGAATTTCCACTTATTAAATAAAAGGTGCGGTTTGTATAGCGCTTAGGCTCTAAACAATCAAATTAGAACCTACCTTCAAATAAAGTCGAGAAATGCGGTTTCAATATTGGAAATCTTTGCAATAGCTTTAAAATATATTTTCATCTTTATTTATAAAGTTTAAAGCTTCAAAAATAGTATATATCGACATATATATATATAAAAACTTGAAAATCTTGAACATTGACGGTTCAAAAACGCGTTACAAAATACATTGTTTTCAAACCTTGAAATCCAATTTTTTCTCATGTCCATGCATCTTGATGTCGAGATGATCAATTTGAGGATATTTGGGCATCAAAACAACATATTCTAATGAAAGTTTTGGGGTAAGCTCAAATTTGATTGTTTAGAGCCTCAAATCTATATAAACTTTTCCCCCATGTAAAAGGGTAAGGAATATGGGTATTCATAAATGTGGTGCGATACTGTAAAATACTTTAAATGTTGCTAATAATATGGGCCTATGATGGTAAAAAAAGAGCAAACTAAAAAAAAGAAAAGAAGCTCTAATCATAGGGTGGCAATGGATCTGACCTGACTCGAGACCCAAATGGTCGGGTTCGGATCCAAAACCTGGACCCGGGTCCAACCCGACCGGTGCCACCCCAACAAAAAAGCTCCCTTTCTCCCTCATATTCTCTCTCTAAAACACACTCTCTCTGAGTTGTAAAATCGAATTCTTACTATTTTGCAACAGGGCTACAAAGACCGAAAAAACGGACTCATCTCACCCTACTGTGCTCCATGATGTCGTGCTCAAGCCTGAACCCATGATATCTTGGTTGAAAACACAACAATCTCCAATCATTTTCCTTTGTCGAATGCCCAAACAAAGCAGCAAAAGCAATGAAATCTCCCACCAAAGAAAACGGTTTTCAAACCCAATCCCTTTTCAGCCACCACCGACCGGTCATAAACCTTACTCTTTACTAAGCCATTTTCCGTCACTAGGGTCCACCAAACATGGAGGCCCATTTCTCATATCTTTACCCCCATTATGGGCTTTGATTCATCGCTTTCAGCTCATTTTCTGGGCCCTCAATACAAGTCAAAATCCTTGAATTTTAGCTTTGGAAAAGTTTTTTTTTTGTGAGTCGGCCGATTCACACTATTCTTGTGCGGTCTCCCTAAAAGATATACCTCTAATAGATCCTAATTTTTAGAATTCAATAATCTCACAAGGATCTAAATTTGGATTTTTTTTTTCAAAAAATATAAATGTTATTTTTTGAATTCTTTTTTTCACCGTCCATTTTAACTTTTCGTGGATGTAACATTTGTTCACATTCATCTTAAATATGGACGTTAGATAGACAAGGGACCGCACGGTGATAAAGTGAGTTGGCTAACGCACCAAAACCATGTCCTTTTAGCTTATTATTTGTTTTCTCAAGGTGGGAAGATAAGGTAGAATAAAAAAAAAAATTTAATAAAGGTGCGTTTAGGGTAAGATTAGATTTTATTGTAGGGTGAGGTTTGTATAAGGCGTCGACCTTATACCATTGAAGTAAGGTGCACCTCAAAACTATGTTGAAATGCACTTTCCATTCCACAAAGCTTTGAGATGGTATGAAAATCTATTGTTGCCCCCAATTATGAAATTTAAAGTTCTAGAAATGGTGAAAATCAAGTCGATCTATAAACGCTTGAAAATTTAAAAAATGGATGGTCCACATAATGTGTTAGAAGATAGACTAATTTTAGGATTAGAAATCCCATTTTTTCATGTCTAAGAATCTCGAGGTCGAGATAATCGATTTATGGGTTTTCCATGATAAGAACAACATTCTCTAGTTCGTTTTTTAGGTCCACCTTACTCATACAGTATAAGGTTGACACCTTATATAAGCCTTTTATTTTATTATAAGGAATTGTTTAGAAACAGACTATTTATCTTTTGTACAAAGAAGTCACAACCATTCTCATATATTAGATACCAAATTGAATGGCTTGGGGTGAGTCACAAAGCCCAAGAATTTATTTTTTTTTGAAATTTTGTGTCTAATCAATGACACTCAACAACTATCCATTTTGAAATTTAAAGGATAAAAATGATTGTGATCTCTTTGTACCAAAAACAAATTGTTACTTTATAAAAAGTAAAATTGCCCTTTAGAAATCCCTCCAAATCATATTTTAGTGCCAGAAACCCATCTCAGTTGAAAGATATGTTTCAAACTTTATTTATGAAATTTGAAGCTTAAAAATAGTGCAATATTGTGTTACAAAATACATTATTTTCAAAGCTTGAAATTCATTGTTTTTTCAGTGCCATAATTGTTATAGTCAAGATCATCAATTTTAGAGTTCTACTATGCTTGAGCAGCCTTTTCCTACAAAATTTTACTCATGGATTTAAAACGACCCTGTGTTAACCTCTTTTCCTAATCAAATCAGATGCACTCCAATTGCCTATGGATTTCATTATTATATATTTGAATCTACACCGTTGATTTGGTTTTACGAACTCTTTCTATGAAAGATAAAATTGAGATGGTATACAATGAGGTCATTTACCGTTGATACAAAGTGGTCATAATTACTTATAACCATCAAATGTGAAATTTGATAGCTTGGAGGTTTCACAAAGTTCGAGTAATGGCCTGGTCAATAGAATAACTGCAACCAACGAATTACACATCCAATGGTCAAGATTAATATGACCACCTCATACCACATGTGAATCGTCTCGTTTTATACTTTCTTTTGAAAAATGTGTTGCAACACGGACCCTTTTTTAGCTTAAAGTACATTATAAATCCATGACGGTCAAGGTGGTAACCGTCGTAATCATGACAATTACGAGGGTCGCATTTTCTAATAAGATTTGACGCTCGACATTATAAAATCAATTCAATTGTTTACAACCAATTCAACTATACATTCTATCAAGATATTTTTGTTTTTGTAGTAGATGCTTTGGGTTCAATTGTGCTGAACATGTTCTCTAGTGGATGCTTTGGGACCTCTCCCTGTAGTAGTATATGTTTTAGGACTTCTCCCTGTGGGGTAGTAGATGTTTAAGAGCTTTTCATTGTAGTCATATGGAGGGTAAGAATTTGGCAAGAGGGGTGGTTATTGTTGTTTTCAAAGACATGGAATGGGGCATTTAGCCTTTGCTTAAAGGGAATCCACAATGTACATTATTTAAGGGTAATTCAGGGAAAGGGCACTCCACCTATAGGAGGAAAGGAGCGAAAAAACGGCATTTTGGTGCTCCGTCATCTTGACCACCTAGCCTTGAGCCCATTTTGTATATTTTTTATGGAGACGTAAAGTCTTTGAAATTTAATCAAATGATTGAGAGTATTTTGAAAATAATTTTAAAAGAGACTTTGTGACCATTAATCGATATAAATATACAAGTTTGTCTTAAATAGACAAATACATATGACAATAATAGAAATAAATCACAGACGCCTACATCATACCTAAATTTACTATAAAATATAAGATATTATACCTGTCTTTCTCATATATACTGATTGTAATATACACTTTCTATATTAACATGCCAGACAATATATCATTTCCTTTCATACGTCCCCTCAAACTCAAGATGCTATGAGAAAGAGCAGCTGGAGTTTGAATACTAAGTTGTGGAAACGAGCAGTTGAATCTTCAGGTGCATAGCATGACCAGTAGATACAGTGACTGCCATGCTCAGATTGCTTGATCAACAAGCACAAAAGAGCAAGCTCACGTAACGACAGATCAACAAACATAAAAAATAAAAGGTTCGAATAAAGGAGGATTGAACAACAGAAAAAAACTTCAAATCTTCTTCAGAGATAGAAAACAATCAAGTTAGCCGAGAAAATAGAATGACACTTGGATGAGTCAACAAAATCAGTGAATTCCCGTGATCGATTCAGCAGCTTGCAAGCATATACACATGATCGAGTAACAAAACAATAGACTCGATTATATAGAATAGAACATGATTGAGTAACAAAGTATATCTTACACGAATAGACATAGTGAAGATGAAACTGGCTTTGATACCATGTGATGAGTCTCAGGTTTCTCTGAAGAGACTCTGTGTCCATTGATCAATATAAATATACAATTTTGTTTTAAAAAGACAAATACATATGACAATAATATAAATAAATCACAAACACCTATACTATATCTAGACTTACCATAAAATATAAGATATTGTACACATCCTTCTCATATATACTGATTACAATATACACCTTCTATATTAACCTGCTAGACTATATATATATATATATATATTTCTTTCTTTCTTTCACAATTAATAAGTAACATTATTATTAACTCACTCTCAACTATCTGATCATGATCTAACTGCTGAACATTTCTATACGTATATATTTCGGATGCATGTAAAAACACATCATTTTCAAACAAAAAGCTTATAGAAGCACACAAATGAGGTTATAACTTCAACAACTCTTTTCTAAGGAGGGATAATGTGAGTGACATGCAAGACGCCAAAAAATTAGTTGCAAATCAACATCCAACGTGTTGAATTGCATAATATATCATTTCTTACATCTATCTTCGAAAAAGTAAACATATATAAGATACAGTGTCATGTGTCAATCAAAAAGCACTAAGATGATTAGGGCTCCCAACGGGCTGGGTTCGGTCTCGCCCAGGCCAGATACTGGTCGAAAAATTTTAGCCCGGCTCAGAATTATGGTTGTTCGGCCCGAAATGAGCCTGAAGTTTTGAACCAGCCCAAAAGCCCGCGGCCCGGCCCAATCCATTGGCGGCCCTAAAAATGACCAACAAAGGCTTCGATAATTATTACAACATGAGGAATGAAAATATCAAATCTTGAAGTGAAAAGAAGTGGCAATTGCCCTTGGTGTTTCTTCATGCTTCAAGTTAAAGGAAGCAATGAGGATAGTATCATTTGAGTTTGATGCTTAGACTCAATTGTTTTTTAATGCTTTCTCCCTCTCCTAAGCGAACCCTAAGGTAACAACATGAGTCGGATTTAAGGCAAATATATTGATTGAATGCTTTCACAGACATAAGGAAATCAATCGATCAATCTCTCTCTCTCTCTCTCTCTCTCTCTCTCTCCCTCCAACTACAAATTTCTACAAAGAAGCGTATTTCGTAATTTGAATAATCTCACTATTCAACCTTTGTGGCCACCTTGTAGGCAAATTTGAATTTTTGCCTTGTACACTATGATGAAAAGTTTAATTCATGGCAAATTTGTATTTTTGCCACGTAAACTTTACAACATAGTTTTAAAACCGAATCGACAGGGTGGATAATTCACCTCATATATATATATATATATGTCAAATTGCTAAATCACCAATCTAAAAAATAAAAAAATAAAATTTAAATAGGATATGTAAAGTGGGTGTTTAAGAGGTCTAAAAAATTATTAGATAAATTTAAATAAAAAAAAAAAAAAAAGATTAAAGTGAGGAACCAACTAAGACCAATACCTTCCTAGAACCAGTTTGGTCCCAATCGATTCCTAATACAAATCGACGATTCCCGATTCAAATTATCAGGTTTTAAAAACTTTCCAAATTCTATTTATTGATGTTAGGCAAATGTTTCTTTTAACCCCTAAATCCACCTAAATTTATTGAACTTTCTATTGAAATTGGAAACATAAAAGCACCTATCAAGAAAGAAATCTAAGAAGAAAGTTTATGGAACAAAAATAAGAAACTTAACAAAATTAAGCAAGGCCAAGGCCATGGGTATTTCCGTCATTTAATCCTTTCATCTAACTGACTATGGTCAACGAGTACTAAATTCACCGAAATCCAGCGAAACTTTTAATATTTCAATGAACTTCCTGTTGTCATGCGCCGAAAGCGTGTGAGGCCAAGTTATAACGGTTGAAAATACAATGTTTTTATACGTAGAAAGTACGGTTTAAAAATACATTGCTTTATAATTAAAAACTCATTAAAAAATACAGAAACCCATGAAGAAAATTACCAAAAAAAAAAAAAATCATTTTTTCTCGTGTATATAACCTTCTCTGAAACTCTATTCTTTATCGGATTTTGTGTTCCCCGAAGATGCCCCCATTAAACTTCAGAATTCCAGCTTTGGTCCTCTGTGTTTTTTTTTCACAGATATGCTCTGGTTTTTGTTCTCAGGTGTTAAATTTCAACATTTAATGGTGTCTTCTAATTATTTTTTCCTTTTTTTATTTTTGAAGAAGAATGATATGCTATGGTTTTTGGTTTCTGGTGTTAGTTTAACATTTAATGGAGCCTTTTAACTTCAATTTTTGTGGGTTTTTTCTGCTTATTTTATTGTTCTGGTTTCTTCAGGTGTATATTGTTTATCTGGGTGGTAAAACCAGTGATGACCCAGATGGGATTTTGGAGCAAAACCACCAAATGTTGGCTTCTGTTCATGAAGGAAGGTCTGAAAAGCTGCGTTTGAATGATTTTAGTGGTTTTCTTTTTGTGCTTCTATTTAATTGCATATGTAGAACGGTTTTCTATGGTGGTTTCTGGTTTTGAGTTTTTTGGAAATGGAACCTGGTTTTGTCATACTCTTCGTCCATTGGATGCTTTAGTGCCTTTCTTGGGAATGGTTCCTTGTTTCTAGTTTTTGGTTTATGCATTCATGGTTTCTGGTTTCTTCTTCTATCGATGAATTCAATCCTGGCATTGTTTGGTTTTCATGAAAAAGCTTAGAGAAGCTCAATTGGGTGGTTTCATGGTTTTTACTGTAATAGTTTATGGTTTTCCTGTTTTGAATGGTTGTGATTAGTGAGAGAGCTGTATTGAATTTTACTTTCTCTGGTTGCTTGTCTTTTGGTGTCCTTTTTCTTTCAAATGATAATGAATTAAGAGGCTCCCGTTAACTGGTTATAGTTGCTTTCCTGCAAAAATTCTTATTTCAAGTTTTTGAAGAAATTCAAACACCTCGTTTTTGCAGTTTGGAGAAGGCCAAAGCTTCAGTTGTTTATAGTTACCACCATGGGTTCAGAGGATTCTCAGCAAAGTTAACAGAAGCCCAAGCTTCCATCCTTGCTAGTGAGCTCTCTCTCTCTCTCT